CCTTGCACTCCAGCCTGGGTGACAGAGTGAGACTCTAACTCAAAAAAAAAAAAGAGAATATTTAAAGGTCTTTTTAGTTTAATGGCTGATACTATATGTCATCAAAATAAAATGTCCTTATATTTCCTAAATTGCATGCCTTTTAAATCTGTAAGGCAAGCCCAGACTCATTTGTCTACCAGTATATTTTTAGAAAAAATAAAAGGTAGCTTTATCATTTATTATGTAGCCAGTAAAAAGGGTTGTCTAGAGCCACATTTGCTGTCATAGAAATATGCTCTTGATATACTGTTGAGTGGAAAGGTTATAAAACAGTTTGTAGAATTATGATCCCACTTTAGGTTTATATTTGTATAAAAGGGCATAGAAAAAAGTAGGGTAGCAATAGACATGTATTAAGAATAGCTATCTCTAGAGAGAGTCTGAGTTTTGCTTTTTCATTACACTTTAATGTATTATCTGAATTGCTTTAAATTTATAATCAGAACAAAAAGCCCATTTTCATTTGAAAAAATAACAAATGATTATCCTACACCATAAAAAATATAGGTAAAAAATAATGAATCTCTTTTACCACTATTTCCTAATTGTGGGCATTGGTTTACATTCATCCTTAACCATAATAGAGTTTTGGCCATAAGATGCAATAATTTCAACACAACTGTTATAATGATCATACAATACTTCTTAGTATAATGCCTCAACGCTACTTATACTAAATTTAATCACATTCCTCCAATTTTCAAGGCTAATTAATGTAACATTATTTTTTAAAGGAGATGAGAAAGTGGTCACTAAGACATTGTTCCAAGCACCTTGCTCCAGGCTTCTGCCCTTCAAACATACAATCAGTCAAAAGATTTTTCTCTTCTCAAAGTATTAAGAAAATAATAGGTCATATTTATAAACTAATAAAAATTAGCAGCAATAAATGAAATGTTACAAGTTATAGTCACACAGACTCATAAATCCAATAAACAAAATGGAATAAACAAAGTGACCAGAAGAGGAGAACGGGAATTTCATAATTCTTTTGTGTATATTTTCTTTGGCAGAGGATTCTGGGATATTAACTCCAATATGTTGTCCCCCACCATGCTTTATCCATTGAATTGTGGCTCACTTGTCATTTCAACTCCTTTAAAGGACATACTCTGTGTATGGAAAAAAAAATTTTTAGAGCCAAAATGCAGGACCATTATTTCTTTTATTTCTGTATGTTTTGGGGTAAGAACTAAAAATCAGTTAAAGATGTCTTGTAAGAAACTTTCCTTTAGGATGGAGTCTTGAAAGTATTTTCCTAATACTCTGAGTAAGAGCTAAGGTCAAAGAATAAGATCATGCAGGGCCTTTGACTCTGACTCTGAGGAAAACTAAGAGCCACTGGAGCATACTGTACAGAAAAGTTATGGGACCTGCAATGTTCTGAGTGTTTATGTCCTCCTCCCCAAATCCATATGTTGAAACCTTATCACCAACATGATGATGTTAGGAGGTGAGGATGTGGGGGGTGATTAGACCATGAGGGCTCTGCCCTCATAAACGAGATTAGTACCCTCATAAATGAGACCCCAGAGAGCACGCTTGTCCCTTCTGCCAAGTAAAGATACAAATAGAAGACCTCATCTCTGAACCAGGAAGTGGGCCCTCATCAGATACCAAATCTGTCAGCACCTTGATCTTGGATTTCACAGCCTCAGAACTGTGAGCAAAATATTGCTGTTGATTACAAGCCACTCAGTTTATAGTATTCTATTGTAGTAGCCAAATCAACTAAGACAGACCCTACAATATTTTTTAAAGATCACTCTGACTGATATATAGAGAGTAGAACATAGGGAGCAAGGCAGAAGCAGTTAAGGCAAAGCAGAAGAGCAGTTAGCAGTCTCTTGCAGGGATGCATGCAGATGGGAGATAATGGCAGCTTAGATGAAGATGGCAGTAGTAGAGGGCAGTGAGGAGGGATCAATGCTGAATATAAATTGAATGTAGGATTCCTGAAGAATTATATATAGTATGTAAGAGAGATAGAGGGAGAATTTCGTATGACTCCAAGGTCTTTGCTCAAAAAACTGGAAAGATGGAGCTGCCCTGAGATGAGAAAAGACTGTCGGAGCTGCAGGTTGGGAGAAAAGACCATGAGTTCCATTTTGGATATGCTACATTTGGATGGGGAGTGAGTAATTGGGGCTATGAGTCTGAAGTTCAGGGGAGAGGTCCATTTGAAGATATAAATGTGGGAGTCATTAGGCATATAATTAGTATTTAAAATCCTAAAACTGAGAGCCTGGGAGACTGGATGAAATCATCAACGAAATAAGTTTCTCTATCTGTTCTTACAGTATAGAATTGTCAGTAAATTCCCATTGCATCTATTACAAGAGGCACTTATTCAATCCTAGAGGTTTCAGAAGTATAATAACCCAGTAATTTGAAAATCAGTCAAAAGGCTACCAATAGCGCTAGGATCATATCAGACTTAACTCCTCACTTACAATCCACTAAGTAGTCCTATGGGTTCTACCATCATAACATATTACAGATCTATTTCTCTCCATCTCTTTTACTACTCCCTAATTCTAAGCCACGATTACGTCTCATGTGGATTACAGCAATAACTTCCTATCTTGGTCTTGCTACTTCTACTCTTACCTTGCTACAGGCCATTCTCCACCAGAGTAATCATTCTACAACATAGATCAGATAATTACTTACTTGCTTGCAATCCTCCAGTACTACTTCCCAGTATACTTAGAACTCAAGCTAAACTCCATATCAGGGTTAATAAGACCCAGCTTAATCTGGTCCCTGCTGGCCTCTCAGATTGCATTTCTTTACCTGAAAACTCTCTCCCTGTTCACAATGTTCCAGGTATACTGGCCTTCTTCTGGTTCCCTGATCATACCAAGATTGTTAGCAGAAATGCAAGGCATTTGCCCCTTTGATCCCTTTGTTTGGAAAATCTCAATTCCAATGCCACTTCCTTAGAAAGGTCTTCCTGAAGTTCCTCTTATTTGAGTTTCTGTGCCTAAATTTGCACTTGCCCTAGAAGATGGCACTAGAACTTACAGGAAAATTTCTGGAAGTCACCACAGGAAGTCCTCTTATTAGATTTTGTTACCATTAACTCTGATGTTTACCTGTTACCTCCTAACACCCAGCCTTCTTTCCTGTCCAGCTCATGATATGATAGACTCAACATATCTAACCATTTACCCATTTAAAAGGATATTTGAGAAGGATATTTCAGAATCAAGTGATACTTAAGAAAGATCAAAAGCTGTAAATAAAAGGGTACACAGCTCAGAAATGATGTCTAAAATCTTTTTTCGAAAAATGGTTAAAAGATTTCATCTTCCCAAAAATCCCAGAGCCAGGCCTAAAGGAAGAGTTGAGGTAATAGGGTAAAATACTTCAAGTTTTTCTTTCAGTTCTATCTTAGAGGATCTCAATGCATGTGGGAATCCCCCAAGGGGTACAAGGGAAAAAAGAACAAAGAATCTTTCAATTAAAAGGAATAAAGCTAGCTAATGCTTCTTAGAAGAATTCTTTGCTTTTGGGAAGTGGGTAGAGTTGCAATAAATCATGATGAATTGATCACAAATATTTCTTTCCCTTTTCCCCCAAATCCCACCAAAATGACCATAAAGGAATAAAAATAGGCTATAACTCACAATGACAATGACAACTAGAAAAAGACAACACTGAAAAAAAGATTTCAAAATGCTTTACAAAATAAAAAGCAAACCAAGGATTGGTAACTGAATTGGCAGAGCTGAGGAAAGGAGGCTTAGCCCTAAATGTACATGTTGGGGGGCACGGGGAACTTAGAGTCCAGTCAATGGGGCCACAAAATTCCTGGGAGTGGCTGTAGACTCCAGGTTCCAATAAAGGCAGGGATAAGGTGTGGTGGCACTGAAAGCAAGGATTGTTTGAAAACCTGAATAAAGCAAGAGCAGCTGGGCCTACAAGTATCTTCCTCTATACTGTGCTCCTTCTCCCTGCAGGGAGCAGAGGCCTGTACTCCAGAGAAACTCAATGACATAAGGTCCAATCTTGGAGAGAGGAAGCATAATAGAGTGCAGAGGAGAGCATTACACCCCAAATTTGAGGGCCTGCAGGCTCCTTCCTTTCCCTATCCTGTTTCTAGAACACAAGCGGTTATGCTTAAACTCTCCTCCCTTCCCCCATCTCACCTTCCCTCCTACCCCAGCAGAAGATAGGATTCTTCTTTCCATACTCGGAACGGTTCCAGA